AACGCAGACAAGGACTTGAAATTAAATATGGTTTACAAAATAAGGTTTTATTCATCTTGAATTTACAGCCCACTGCAGAGATTATGACTTCCTCTCACTACTAGATTATTTGTTTTAAATGACTGTTTTCAGCATGTCACTATGTATTTTCAGTGATGTATTTTTACCTCCAGACACACTTGAAAGCTACAAAGTGCTATAACCTACCTTCTAGAACCTTATCTTCTACTAGTCCTCAATGTGAGTTCCTTGTTTCACAGCCTTTCCTACTCAAAGACCCCAGAATATGTCACTTGTTTTGCCTGTATGCTCAAACCATTCTTCAACATCCATTCTAGATACGAAAATTGTTTTATTCAGGGTTTTGTGGTTTCAGGGACCAGAAGTTCAATTAAATTAGCTCAAGTAAAAGGTTTTCTTAGAGTAGTATTATATGTGATTTCTCAGAAATAGTAATCAAAGTACTCTTGAGCCTTGTATCAGTTGTGAATATTTGAGACTTAAGCAATTTTTCCCCCTCACATTAGAAGAAATCTGGAGGTAGCCAAGTTGCTGGTTGTTTTACTAGCTCAAGATTAAAAAGACCAGTGATGTTCCTCTTCTTGACCATTCCCTCATGATCACAAGGTGGCTGCTGTAACTCTAAATATCATGTCCATGTTCAAGGAAGGTAGAAAGCGGAGGGAAGCGAAACCAGCCTTTTCCTTTGGTCAGGAAAGTAAAAACTTTCACAGAAATCTGCCAGTAGACTTCTGCTTACATTACATTTACAATAACTCTGTCACATAGCTGCTTATAAAGGAACTGAAATGACAAGCCACATATTGGAAGGAAAATTTACAACACAAAGAATTGCTACTGAGAATATAAAAAGAACTTCTATAGTTTGATAAAAATAAGATAAACAACCTAATAGAAAAACAGGCAAAAATGTGAGTAGGCAATTGACAGAAGAGGAAACATTTTTGGTGAATAAATTTAGGAAAAGATGCCCAACCACATTAGTGATCAGGGAAATGCAAATTAAGACTATGCTGAAATATAGACTATATCTCAAAATATTAAGTGTTGCTGTAAATGTGGAGTCTTATCTACCACTGGCGGGGGTGGAGTGAAATGGTATAACCGCTTAGCAATCCAATCTGGGATTTTCCAGTGAAGTTGGATTTTTGCATACCCCATGATGCAGCAGTTCCACAGCTAGCGATTCCACACAGGAGACATGTACATAAATGTTCACAGCAGCATTATTTGTAATAGCAAGAATGGAAATAACCCAGATGGTCATTGTCAGAAGCATGAATAAAATGATACATTTATATGATACACCTGCAATGATTGCAGCACCATGAATGGGTGTAAGAAATGAGTGAAAAAAATCAAGGGCAGAAGACTACATATATGGCATAATGTTTTTAAAAGGTACAATACAAGAAGGCTAAACAATATATATTTTCAGAGATACATACACGTGTGGTCATGTGTTTTTGAAAAAACAAAGCAAGAAAAAGATAAACACAAAATTCAGGATAGTGGTTACTTCTCCTGAGGCAGGGAACAAGAAAGGGATTGAACACACAGGTAGATTCAATGATACCACAATGCTCTAGGTATTAAGTTGAATAGTGGATTCCCAGTTGTCTATTATTATGCTTCATAACTTACTTATATGTTATATATATATTTATGTATCAAATGTTACATAATAAAAAACTTTAGTAAGGTAAAATAGCTTTGACAATAAGTACAAAAAGGATTATATCATATTGTGAAATTTTTGGGGGGGCAGAGACACACGTACTAGGGAACCAGACACTTACATTTTTAATTATTTTAGTTTTACAATGCTTTTTGAGAATAATAAACACTTTTTTGTTTCAGTCCAGGTGGGGAGAAAGGACATAAGCACATACAAACACAAATGCTCTAAAGGAATTTATTCTTATTACTGTGCAGAAACTTTATAAAATAAAAAGAAGTAAGCGCTGTTGGAACAGAGAGATGGAGATGTACCGATAACACTATGTTAAAGAACAGTGCCAGTAGAGGAGTGGGGACAGAAGTGAGACTACACAAGTATTTAAGGAGAAATTAAAAGGGAGGTTGTAGATTACAGTCTCCTTTTCAAAATGCTTAGTAATAAAAGAAGAGAGGAAATTAGTTTCTCTCTTCTTCAGAGATTCTTCAGGACTGTTCTTCCCAAGCCCACTCTTTTTGCTTTTGTATTTGATGGCTGTATTACAGAGACAAAAATACAGACCCCAGCACAACTTTGCTAGGCATTTAAGAAAATCTCTAAGGTTTCATGTACTATCCAGGGATACACTAGTACCTACCCCCAAGGGGGTGTTAATGGTGTCACTATATAATCAGTGTTTCCTTTTTATTATTTTCACCATCATTTCAAGGTTATTTAACTCATTCTCAATTCTAGTGATCACACTAGAACCCAATCATGATAATAAACCAAAACTAATAAACAACACTCTCTCCAAAAACTAACAAAACCCCCCACCTCAAAACAAAATGACATTTCTTAATCATTCTTTCAACTGAAGACTTACTGCTTATAATCTGCACATAGCACAGATCCCATTTAAAATCACAGGGCCTGACAATGCATTTTAATGGACTTTGCTTTGTTGATCTTTTTTTTTTTTTTTTTTTTTTTTTCTGGTATGCGGGCCTCTCACTGCTGTGGCCTCTCCCGTTACGGAGCACAGGCTCCGGACGCGC